TTCTCTCCTTGCCTGGGCCTGTGCAGTGTCACTGAGCAGAGGGCAGTGGGTTTATCTGGGGCGCAGCAACGTGCCTGTGCTCTGTGATAGTGGGCTCTGCACGGCTGGCAGGAGGGACGGGCTCCTCAGTGGGTTTTTTATTGCTGTTTCCACTCAACCCATGCAGAAACCACAGCTGAGTTCAGATACTCGGGGGAACGGTTGCGATGGAGCTCTGTTTCACTGCAGTTACCCTTTCCTTTTTAAGAAAGATGTGCTTTGTAGCTCTGAGCATCACGGCAAGTTGTGTTTTTCCATTCAGCCCACTGTGCTGCAGGGGCTGCGTGGCTGAGTCGCTTTCCTCAATGCTGAGGTCCAGACCTGAGCTTGTCACCCATGGCTCCCTTCACAGCCGATGCAAAGAAGCTGCAAAGAGGGGATTTTAGGGTTAGATTACTCTGACCTACTTTAGAACTACCCTTAAGATAATGAGCTGGGCCTCACCCTCGCCGGCTCTCCCAGTGCTCCACGGGTGGCTGCTCCTCATCAGCCTCCGCGCTTACCCAGAAGCTTCCCACCCTCGGCTCGTCCTGCCTGGAGCAGGCGGTGCTGTTAGCAAGCAGGTACAGCTGTAATTTGGGTGAGTCAGCAGCTGCTGGAGATGAAGGGAGGCGTGTGAAGCTCAGCTCTGCCTCTGCCGCGCTTCCTACGGCGCTGCTTTGCTTATCCTTGTGCCTACGGTAGTCTGGCCCTGGATTTGGAGTAAGACTCTTCAGCCTTTAATGGCAGCTAATGAGAGGGTATGAGACTTTGGAAACTTCATTAATGAAAGTAAAGCTGAGGGGAGTTGCACAACTGTGAAGGGCTTCCCATACCTGAGCATCCCAGCTGCTCCCATCTGCCTTTACCTGCCGCTCACGCAGCCCGGCCAGGAGCTCAGTGCAGCTGGGGGACTTCCGTCCTCGCTCGGCTCGGCGCAGCCCACAGACGGGGCTCAGATTTCCTGCCTGCCCCTTCGGCGCGGCCCCTCCGCGTGGTTTCCTGTAGCTGACACGTTCAGCCTGCAGCCTGAAGAGTTAAGAGCTTGTTAGGCTTCCCCGAGCGCGGCAGGCACCGCAGATGTGAAGCCTGCGTGTTGTCAGCCAGCACACAGCAGGGCAGGGGTTTGGAGCACAGCTTCTGGGGGAAAAAGCACCAAGTATTGAGGTATTGAAACTGCTGCTTCTCCCCTCTTGTAGCAGAAGCTGCTAGCAAAGTTCCCGTTGTTATCCATTGAAAATGCTGCTGTTGGGACTCAAATTAGCCAAGGCAAAACAAGCCAAGCAGTCTGCATCCCTGGCACCACAGCAGGAGTCAGTACAACATCTGCAAGCTGTGTTAATGAAATGTCCAGGATTGCTCAGCAGATCCCTCCATATTCCTAACCAGGATCCCGAGGCTGGGGTAGCTTAACACTGAATGTTTTACTCCAAGACTGACGTGCATCAGTATCTCGGAGCAGCTGGCTTTCTGGAAAATGTAAAACCCTTTCCTAGCCTTGGTGGTGAAATTAAGACTGCTTTGCAGGCTCATACGCGTGGCTGGTTTGCCCAGGTGAACTGGTTTGGTTTGATCTGTCATACATCCTGCTTACTAAATCTGTTTGTTCCCAGGAATCTATTTTGTTAAAGAGCTGAAAGGCTCAGCATGTTTCCCTCCCCGCCTTGTGCTGTGAATGTGTATTTTAATAGGGCAGAAATCTGCTGTTGACAGGAGTGCTTTGGCTTCAGTGGAGTTCGCTTATCTGTGACTTAAGGCCAAAAGCTGATTATAGGCTCATATGTGGTACGGAGCCTCTCTGGGCACCGCAGGGTGACGCTGCCTTGGATTCATACGGCTCTGTCCCAGCCTGCTGCTTGGTGACCCCGCAGCGCAGTTCCTGGGATGTCAGCATCCTGTTGTGATTTCTGAGTCTGTGGGAGCAGTTCAGGTTTCTCAGTGCCCAGAGCTGCAGGTATCTTGTCTGCTCGGAGCCCTGGGCTCCCATCTTTCCTAGAGCTCACCTCAGTTCCCGGTGCTCCCGTTGTCCCAGGGCTCAGGGTGCCGTGGGACCAGGCTGCACTTGGAGCTCTGTGCTCTGGGATGCAGCTGAGGCTGCTGGCACTCAGGATGCCTTCCTCTGGCTGAGCTCCTGCTTCTTGCTAGCAGCTCCTGTTCTTGTTTGCCCCTTCCTGCTGTACCATTCAGTTCTATAGCAGCACATCCTTGGAAGCAAACAGGGCTACCAAACCCTTCAAGAAGGCATGCACTCTCATTTCAACTGGGAGGAATCTGCCTTTCCTTCTGTAAGGTGTGCTGCTTTATCAGAATCCAGGGCAGATGATTCTGAAGTCAGGCAGTGCTGTGCCACCAACCCGCCGAGTACAGCAGAGCACTTTGTGTTATGCAGCACGCAGGGATGATGAGATGCCTGTGGGTATACAGACCTGGACCCCTCACCTTCCCTCCAAGGGCAATCTTGTTATTTTGGGGGTCATTTTAACTTTTCTCTCTGCTCTGATCACCTTAAGATCTTCGCAGTGCTTTTGTCTTCCCCTGTAATAACTTCCACTGTAAAGCACCTGCATTGTATGCATTGTATTTTTCCCATAGGAGACTTTGCACCTGATTCTATTAGCAGAAATGGTGCTTCTAAACACGGTCCTTCTAACCATGGCTCCGACGGAAGGGGCCCATCCCCAACAGGGCTTTGGTGCCTTCTGACATGCAGGAATGTTTCCCCATCCTTGATGTTGGCATGGCCACAGAAGTCGTGTTGCTCAAAGCTTTCTTCTCCCCGCTGGGGACCCTTGAGTTCTGGGTGTGGAACAGAGCAGCTGTTCTGAAGGTGAGGAAGCAGTTCAGTTTTTTCCCTGCTGTATGAGGTGACTGCTGCTGGAGATTCCCTCGGTGTAAAAATGAGAGCACAAAACAGCTGTGCTGTACTTTACGTAAATAGGTTGAGACTCCCGTTTGCCTAGACTTGCTGCCGCTTCTGCTCCCAGCTGCAGGTACAGCGGTGGCACAGCGGCGGTACAACAGCAGCGGGCAGCGCGCGGGACCCCCCTGAGCCGGGGCTGCTGCCGTCAGCTCGGAGCTGAGCCCAGGCGGCTCCTCGGGGCGAGGCCAGGGCGCGGTGCCGGCTGAGCTCATCTCCGCCAGGAGAAGGCATCGGGAGGAGCTCAGCCCATCATCTGTGCTGCAGGTGTCTGCTGGCCCTGCCTGCCTGCTGGGTGAGCCCCAGCGCCGGGGGCTGCAGCCGAGCCCCCCCTGCCTCTTCAATGCACTCTTTAAACTCGGTTTCCATTTCGGTTATTCGCTGAGAAGTGTTCGGCTCGACCTGAGGAAGCTTCTTACTCAAACAGGGAGCAGAAGTTGGGGTAGTTTATGACTTCCTTCTTCCCGTAAACAATTTAATGAATTAAATGCCTGCGTTATGGGAACAACGGAGGGATGGGAACCTGACGTGGTGAAAGTTCAGGCGCTGTTTGCAGACGGTTTTGGCGCCAGGACCATTAAACTGCTCCGGCATCTCCTTCCACCACGCGTGCGCCCCATCGAGCGCAGCAGGGGAGCTTTCCGCAGTAACGCGAGGCTTTCGGTAGCACCGCGTGGGTTTTACTCGAGGGGAGGAAGCTTTGGCCGGCAGTCGGTGTTTCGTCAAGGCCACGAGCGCGGTTCTGCTTAACAAAAGGGGACTTTCGTGCCTGCGGCCGAGCAGAGCCGTAGGAAAGGGCCGCGCTCCGAACATGGCGGCTGGGCCGGACGGGCAGCGGAGGAGAGGGGGTCGGCGTGGGTACCGTGCCCGGAGGCTCGACGGGGCCCCGGGGCGGGCGGGACGCGACCCGCGCGTGCGAGAACGGGGCGGAGCCGCGCGGGGCGGCAGCGGCACCAACGGCAGCGAGGCGGAGCCGCACCGCCGTGCGGGGAGCGCGGACGGGAGGGGGGGGCGGGGCCGGCACGCACGTGCGCTACGTGCGGCGCTGCAGCCGCGGCGGGGCCGGGCCTCCATCCGCGTCGCGGGGGGGGCGGCGCCGGGCCTCGGGGCGCGTCCCCGGCCGACGTCGCGTTCCGTCGCGGTCGCGGAGCCCCCGTCCCGTCTCGCCGCTGAGTCGGCCTGCGCCGCTCGGGAGGACGGCGGGACCGGTCCGCGCGGCGCTCCGGCTGCGAAGCGGAACCGTTTTACCACGGGAGCGCCGCGCGGGGCCCCAAACGGAACCGTAACGATGCCGTAACGATGCCGCCTAGCTCCGGCGGCGGCCGCCCGGCCTCGAGCACAGACAATGCGGCCGCGCGGCGCGCTCGGGCCCCGCCCCCCGGTGACGCGTCCACGGCGCAGCCAACGGGAGGCGGCGGAGAGGCTCTTTAAAAAAAGAAGCGCCGGCAGCGGCGGCCGTCAGCTGTGCGGATCCCTCCGCGCATGTAAACACAGCGGGCCCAGCGCCCCTCACGGCGCCGCGCGGCCCGACGGCCGGGGACCCCCCTCGACTTTCCCGCTAGAGCGGCTCCGCGCGGGGTGCGCCGCACCGAGCAGCTGCTCCGGCGGCCGTCCGGGGCGGCGGCACGGGGCCGCGGGCGCTCCCTGAACCGGCGGTGCCGGGGGGAGCGGAGCGGGGCAGGAGGGCCGCGGGGCGCGCACAAAGGCGCGGGGCCAACGCTCGGAGCGCGCGGCTCGGCTCGTTCCGCGCCTAGGAAGGAAGCGGGGCGGAGGGGGCCGGAGCGGCTCAGAGCTCGGCCGGCCCCGGGCCGCGTCGCCCCCCTCCCCACGACGACCCCGGCCCGGCGCCCCCTCACAAAGGCGCGTGACGGGGCGGGGCGGCCGCCGCCCCCTCCCCCCGCCCAGCCCGGGGCGGACTCTTTTTCTCTCGCGTTCTGGCTTCGTGCCCCCCCGCCCCCTCCCTTCCACCCCCCACCACCCGCCGGACGCACACGTCCCGTTCGAGGCGCTCGGCGGCCCCGGCGGCTGTCGGAGGATTGTTCCGAGTCGGCGGCGGTGGCGGCGCGGCCCGGGCCGGGCCATGGCCGAGTTCCTGCCCCCGCCCGAGTGCCCGGTGTTCGAGCCCAGCTGGGAGGAGTTCGCCGACCCCTTCGCCTTCATCCACAAGATCCGGCCCATCGCCGAGCAGACCGGCATCTGCAAGGTGCGGCCGCCGCCGGTGAGTGCCCGCATGGCGCTGCCGGGAACGGCCTTTGTGTGGCGGCCCGGCCCGCAGCCGCACCTCCGGCGCCGATCCCGGGCAGGCGGGCCCGGCCGGAGCGCCCCGGCGCCGCGCGGAAGTTCGGCCGCCCCCGGAGCCGGACGGGGCCGTTCCGCCGCCGTTCGCCGCCCCCGTCCGTCCCCCGGCCGCCTCCAAGTCGCTCCGAGTGCCGGAGTTGGCCCGGTTCTGACCCGGCCGCCCCGCGCTCCCCGCCGAGGTCTCTCTGCGCCTCCCCGCGCCGCTCGGTCACCAAAAGTTCCGGCGCCGTCCCGGAGCGCAGTTGGGCCGAGTGGCCCCGGAGCGGAGCGGCGCTCGGTGCTGCCCTCCATGTTGGCATTGTGGGGCCGCGGCCCTCCGCTCCGAGCTGCTCCCGGCCCCGCGGCGCCCGGCCCGGCGCTCTCCGTGCGGGGAATCTCCGCGCAAGTTGCGGCGCCCCGCGCTCTTCGGCCGGAGTTCGGCCGCCGGCTCCGCTCGCCAGACCCCGGGCCGACGCGGCCACCATTTTATAACGCGATCCTCGCTGGGAAGAGCCGTGAGCTTCGTCCTCGTCCTCGTCGCCCGGCCCGGCCGCGCGGTGCGCTCGCAGTCGCGGTTCCGATTTTCTTTTGTTAGCTGACCCCGTTTGCCGAGAGCCGTTCGATCTCAGCCCCGCGGTCGGCGCGGCCGGGAGCGGCGGTTCCGTTACGGGGATAAACGGCCCGAATGGCGAGGAGCGGAAATCTGATTGCCGAGCGTTTGCGGATCTCCTCGTGTCGATGCGGAGCCGGGCCGGCACGGCCACGGCGGCGGAGCCCCGCACCTCCCCCAGCCGGGGCCGAGCTCAGCGCGGCGCTTTGCCGGCCGATGCTCGCGGTTCGGAGCCGATCCTCGCTGCTCCTCGGCTCCGCGCTCCGCCCGCCGGCGGCCGGCCGAATTAAAGTGAAGTTGGTGCTTGAGCTGGTGCGGATCTTTGTGCCGGAGGAGCTGCGCCCTGGGAGGCTCTGCGTGCCCCGAGCCCGGCGGAGGGGATCAGATGGTTTTCATTATCTGGCCAACGCTGAACTTATGTAATCTTTTTGAGGAGAACAATCTTTTTGGAGCGCGCACTGCCAACAGCATTGAGCAGTTGGGAGCAGAGCAGAATTTCTGTGGAGATGGGTTGTTGGTTTTTTTTTTTGTGGTTTGTTTTAAAAATCTCATCTACGTTTCTCATCTGCTTGCACACAAAAACCAAAGCCTGTCAATAAAAGCTCCTTCTGAGCTTCGTTGTCTGTTAGAGAGGCAGAGACGAGCAGCTCTGAAGGAATTGCGACCGACTGCAACTGCGTCCTCAGCACGCTCCATCTCCACTTACAAAGGCCAACCTCCCCTCTATGATCCGATGGATTCGCTGAGCTGCTGTTCAGAAGTGGGATGAGGACGGCCGGAGCTCCGAGGGCACAACGCCCCATGGCTGTGCAGGGTTTGGCTCCCACCGCCCGTCTGCCCCGCGGTGGCCCTGTGGCTGCGCCTGCACCAGCCTGGAGCGTAGAGGGAGCCCTTCAGGCCCGGCGCCTGACGTGGTTCCTGGCCTTCCTGGAAACAGGAGCGCGATGAATATTCGGCTGTTGGTTTCTGTAGGATCCGGTGGTTTGCGGGAGGTGAGCTGGGGCTGCGTCGGCCTTTTTGCAGAACTCCCCGATGGAAGGGGTGGGAATCGCCCTGCGTCCCAGTGGGGCTCTGGTCTCTGTGCTTGGCCTGTGTGGCTGTGCCATCCGGGATCCGCATTGGAAAAAAATTCAGAATTTAGTCCCTTTTTGCGTTGATTTAGGCTTAAACTCTTGTATAATTATCATCTGGTGAAGCCGTGCTGTTCTACCTGACTGCAGCATGGGATGGCTGGCAGGATGGCAGGGCGGTCACAGCTCCGAGCTGCAGAGCACAAAGGGAAGAGCTCTGCGTTCTCAAGGCTTGCGGACGCCTCCTTCCTGGGAGCTGGGTGCGAGCGTGCAGCCAGAGCACAGGGCAGCAATCAGTGCTGGAGGTCGGGGCAGCAGCAGGGCGTTGGGTGGGGGAATCACCAGGGATGTGACAGGAGGGAGAGCTGCTCAAGGGGGCTGGAATTTCAGTTTCCACTTGAGCGCTCCAGAGAAGCTTCCTTCCTCTTCGTTGCTGATGACTTGGTTCTGCTCTCGTTCAGGTGACTGTGGGATGCTGCAATCCCAGCGTTAACTCTTCCCTTTGGTATCTGATGGGCTGTAAGACGGAAGGGGACGGAGTCCATAGCGGGGTCTGTGCGCTGGGCGAGGGGAGGTGGCTTCAGACGAAAAGAGCAGGATTTCGATTGGTCACAGAGAGGCGGCGCTGCCCCGTCCCCGCAGCCCCCCGAGGGCAGGGCAGGGCTGTGAGCGCTGCTGGGGCCGGGGGTGTCCCCGTGCTCGGCAGGGAGTGGGACCAGAGGGCCTCTGAGGGCCCCTTCCGACTCACACCGTTCTGCGGTTCTCTCCTGGACGTGAGCCGCTGGTTCTGTGCAGGACGCGGCAGTGGCTGTGTGTTGGCGCTGCTGTAGGATGTGGAACAGAGCGCTGAGCTCCTTGCTGGCTGCCCTGAGCGCAGCACAGCTGGGCTTTGCCTGCAGTCACCTCGTGGGGTTCGTGTGCCACCACCAAGAAGGTGCAGAGCTGCCTGCAGAGCAGTGGGTGCTGTGCAGCCCGTCCATCACGTGCTTGGCTGGGTTTTCTTCTCTGAATTGGTCCTTTGTTAGGGTTTCTTCATTTTGGTGCTAAGTTGGAGTGGTGGTTTGTCCAGCACTTCAAAGGCTGAAGGGTGATGCTGGAGCACAGCGTGGCTGTTGTTGGACGGAGATGGCTTTTTAATTTCAATTAGTGGAAGTAAACATTCCCTCAGATTTCCAACATAGCTTCAAGAATGAAAGGTGGAAAGTAGAGCGTGTCCTGCTGTTCTGCTCCAGTTCTGCTCCAGAATGGACCCCTCTTTCCATTGGGTTGTGGAGCTGCTTTGCTGCAGTGAAGAAATAACTGACAGCAATTACTTCAGCTCTCCTTGCCGTGGTCATCAGTCTCAAAATATAAAATGCTGTATGACGTCCTGGCAGCATTACAGCTGATGGCTGAACGTAGCAATCGAGAAGGTTTGGGCTGTGCTTTGAATAATGTGAGGATGGAGGAGTGCGGCTGGGGTCCCAACAACCCGCAGGGTGCAGTGATGAGATGAAGGAGGTCTGTGTGAGGCTGCCTGCAGCTCGCAGGAGTTGGCACAGCACTTCTACACGAGCAGCTCTCTTCCAGTGGGTCTCATGGAGCTGGGGGGCTTTGAGCGGGGCTGTGTTGGTGGTTTTAAGTTCTTGGTGGGTTGGTGGGCAGGGCTGGGGTTGGCTCTGCTGTTTGCCCTGGCGCTGTTTGGTTCGGTCGGTCACACTGTCACAATCCCAGGGCTGTAAACGAATTGGGTGTGTGTCAGGATTCTAATTGCAGTCGTTGTGGTTCTGCAAAATTGATAACGTGCTGAAGGAATCGTGGATTGTTTCAGCTTTAATGAGGAATTACTGTAAAGGAGGGGTTTCTGATGGTCTTTCAGAACCTCAAGCCAATGGCGTCTGATCTCCATGGAAGGGTCTGGAAGGACAAAAGAGGTGACCTCATGCAGGTGGCAGGTTTGGGTGAGTCGTGGGGTGACCCCGACTGCCTCACAAGCACTGGATGCGATGAGGCCAGAGGCTCCCAAGTGGGACTCAGCATAAGGTTTTCCCTTTAGGAACAAAGGGGCTGAGATCAGAGCTGGAGGGAGCGGGGTTGGTGGGGCAGTGGTGGTGAGCTGTGCTGGGCAGTGCTGAGCAGGGCACAGCTGGGGGGATTTCAGTGAGATCCAGCAGTGGGTGCTGCATGGAGCCGTGCTGAGCAGTGCTGCGTGCGGAGCAGCGCGCTGTGAGTGCAGCTGGGAGACCCAAAGCTCTTCTGGGCTGGGAGGGCTGTGCCTGCTGGACACTTGGACATTTAAAACCCCTCCTTCTTGTTGGTAGGCTTCCATTTAATGGAGGTTATTTTATCTTTCTGTATGAAGTGTGGGCTGAACACGGTGGTTACCTTTGGGAGGGCTTCTGCTCAGAGCTGTGGCAGCCCCGTGGTGTTGGAGCTGCAGGTGGAGCAGCACCCATCCCTGTGGGCACCTGGGCAGCCTGAGCCGCTCCAATAGCAGAGCCAGGAAAGGTCAGAGGAGCCCACTTACCTGTGTGCCCATCTTTGGTGCTCAGGGAGATGGGAAGGAGGAGGTGCTGCTGGTGGTGGCTGTTGGGCGCAGCGCAGGCTGTGCTGTATTTCCTGTGCTTGTGAAATGCTGAAAAGTTGGAGTGAGAACGATGGGAGCTCCGTGCTGGGGTCCATCCTTCCGGCACAGAGCTCTGGGTGCTCGATCCGTGCAGCCCACTGAAAATTGGAGATGCAGCAGTTTATTCGAGAGCTCCCAGAGGTGCAGTTGTAGGGAGAGCCTTCAGATTGTTGCTGCTTTTCTGTTTGTTTGCTAAACTTGAGGGAGAGAAACAAGATGGATCAGCTAATAAAACATCCCCTGCCCCCAGGCTGCAGCTCCACAGGGCGGCATGGGAGAGCCCCATGTGCAGGGGGCGCATGGCCAGGTGGGACTGGAGGCCCTGCAGTGGGACTGCGGTGCTGCAGCTCTTGGGCCTGGTGCTGGTGGCACAGATGGATGCTGACCTGGGGGTGTGGGGAGGAAACGGCGAGTGTTTGGAGCTGAGAGGTCGCCCTTACTGAAAGAACCTCCATTGCTGCTGGCAGCGGTGGCAGAGATGGCTTCCAGCTCCCCGCCTCCCAGCCAGCGCAGGGCTGGGTGTGCTGCTCCTGCCCGTGGGTTGGTTGCTCAAGGTCCGATTGCTCCTCCAGCAAGCAGCCCTCCCAGGGCTGGGCACCCGGCTTTGCTGATGCAGAAGCGGCTGCTGCTTCTGAGCAGGATCCAGGCTGGTGCTCTGCAGCTGCTCAGCACAGACCTGGCGGTGCGTTGGTGAAGCTGCTGCCCTCGCTGCTCACAGCAGGAAAGCTCCTGAGCTGCCCTACGTTTTCCTTCCCGTGCTGGTGCTGCTCACTGTTGCCCCATGGCCGCTTCCTGCGCTCACAGCACAGAGGCTGCTGTGTCTGCCACGTCCTGTGCTGGGGGTCAGACCTGGTTCCCACATTGCTGAGCTGCTGGCCGTGCTGCTCCAGAAGCGTCCTGCTGGCCTGAGATTTCATTGCTCTCCATGTTTGGAATTGGCACAGAAACTCCTGAGTCTGGAGAGCCGCTCTGTGCTGCAGGCTCCTCTTTTGGCAGTGATTCTGTTGGGAAGGGTTTGAGATTTTGTTTTCCGTTGTTAATCTGCGGTCTGTCGCAGAGCCCGGTTTGATCTCCAGTGAGAAACACGGGAGGAAGGGGCTCATCTCCCTGCAGGGCTCCACCACCAGCTCTGCAGTGCACAGCCCTGCTGGCAGCGCCGCCCCAAGCGGGTCACAGAGGGATTAATTCCCCTGCACAGCTTTGTGGGTGAGCCCAGCTCCGCTGATGGCGCAGGTCGGTTCTGCTGAGGTTCTGTGATCCAGGTGCCCTTTGAGTGTCTTTGTGGCATGAGAACACGCACCTCAGTCCGACCTCAATCCTCTGCCAGCAGCCGCGTCGCACCTTCACACGGATGGGGAACAAAGAAATGTAGGTCATGTGTGCGGGGTGGGCATCCCAGCAAGCTGCTGTGTGAACCGAGTGCATTTCTGTGGCAGAATTGCTGAGATCTTCCTTTGGATCTTACTATGCCGCTGTCTAGCAAAATAATGGAAGTGACATGTCTCCTTTTTTTTGTCTACACGGGAACGGTTGCGTCTGAAATGCTGCTTGCAGTTTTCAAAAGATGCTGAAGAAGTCGGAGAGGCTTCAGGACAAAATCCGGAGGAAGATCTTTACTTGCAGCACTTGGAAGCTGCTCGTGTGCAGGGGAGCAAAAGGCGCGAGCTGTGCGCAGAGAAACGCTGTGAGCATCGCTCCCAGGAGGCGCTCAGGGATGCGAGCGTGGCTGGGCGGCCGTGGGGTCCTTCAGACAGCCTAAGGCTCCACGGATCTTAATGTGTTAATTTTTATTTTGCATCTTGTTCTGGAATTGAGGCGGCTCCCATAGGCCAGAAACATGAGCTGCTGGGTGTTATTCTCGTGGGTTTTACTGACTTACAGCTCAGGTTGAGGCGCCTGGGGCTGGGGAACGGAGCGCTGAGCCCAGGGCTGCCTGCTGGATGCTGCAGGTGATGCGTGGGTAACCGACCTGTGGGGCAGGAGCTGGCTCTGTGTAAGTGGGCTCTGTGGGTGAGTTCTGGGAGCCCCAGGAGGGCGGTGTGGGTTGCAGCGGATCTCTGGCCCTGCACCCTGCAGTGTGAGGGCAGCACGGCTCCGTGGGCTGGGCAGCTCGTGTCTGAAGGGTCTGCTGGTGAGCCTGGAAGCTTACACAGTTTTAATTCCAGCCTTGCTTAGCCTTCATGTACCAAAGATGCCCTGTCGGATCGCAAGACTTGTCCACGCTGCCTTGGGGTTTGGGCTGCTGTTGTGTGTTGAACAGAATAAAAGGCTGGGAGTCCTTTGCCCTGTGACTGCTCAGCTCTGCTGAGGGCTCTGCTGCTGGGCACAGCTGCTGCCATGGTGGGCCGTTGCTTCCCGTGTTGCTGATGGCAGCTTTGGCACGGGGTCTCATTTCCCTGCTGAGGTGAGGAATGCAGCCTGCGACTCCGGCTGTTTCTGCTGTGGGAACGCGTGGCACTGCAGGTCCTTCCCGGTGCAGAGCTCTCCTGTCTCAGAAGTGCTTGCATGTTATCTTCGTTCTGTAATTAGTGATAATCAGATTGCTTTATAAGTAATAAATTACCGTCAAGTTCAGATCAAATCTCATGTAGTTCAGTGAAGCCAAACCGCCGCACGTGATGGGTGTCAGAGATCTGAGAGATAAAATTCCTTTGTAGTCGTATTTACAAATAACTGCAGTGGTTTGCAGGTGTTTTGTTTCGGTGCTGATCCTCGGCTCTAATTGCTCGTGCACTGGTTGCTCTGGAGCATTTGCAGACGAGGAATCAGGAGCTGGAAGCTCTCCTGCTCCGCGCTGCGCAGCCCTGCTCCCCTCCCGCCCTGTTGATGAGGCACTTCTGTTTTCCCAGGACTGGCAGCCTCCATTTGCGTGTGATGTTGATAAACTTCACTTCACGCCGAGGATCCAGCGGCTCAATGAGTTGGAGGTAAGCTGCAGAGCCAGGCGTTGCCCCCTCTTTGTTTTGTCCCGTCTTTAATGATGTTTCCCAGCTGATTGCTCGTGAGCTCGGTGCGACTTCAGCCAACAGCATTTGGTACCTCTGCACGTCGGCCTTAACACACAGAAATCCTCGTGTTCCAGCAATTGCATGAAGGCCTACCAGCCATAAAAAGTAAAATCAGTGCTTGTTAAAAGCACGCAATTCCACTTTTAGGTGGTCGAGCTCAAACTCTCAAGCGCTGTACATTTTCTCCCCTCGTTTTGCGCATCTGCAGCATCTTTTATAAGTAGAAGAGATGAATCTTGCAGAGAGGGCTCTAAAAACAAGGAGCCGTTTGGAAGGAACAATTAGAAAACGCGGTTGGTGCAAAATGTGTTTGTGAGCACTTCCTTTCACTGCTGGCGTCGACTCAGGCTGCAGGAAGCGGCGCTGGGAGCAGCAGGCAGGGGAGCTGTGCCTCCACGTGGCACGGTGTCACTCGTTGCTTTCCAGGCCCAAACCCGCGTGAAGCTGAATTTCCTGGACCAGATTGCGAAGTTCTGGGAGCTGCAGGGCTGCACGCTGAAAATCCCCCACGTGGAGAGGAAGATCTTGGATTTATTTCAGCTTAACAGGGTAAGGCTGCGAGAGGGGAACCGACCTGGAGGGGGTGTTGTGTTGGCAGCTCTCAGGATTGGGCTGTGTGTGAGCGGGAAATGTTACTTCATTTAAAGCTGGCTGAGATAATGTGGCGAAATAATAGGAAATGCAATGGTGGGGGTTTCCACCTGAGCACGGGGATGAGATGAGATGTCAGCTCTTCTGCAGATGAACCTGGGAGCAAATTGGTCGGGAAGAAACTTGTGTTTGTAACTGGAGGAAGCTGCTGAGCAACAGCGGGTAGAAAAGGCGTTTGCACTAGGAGCAAGGGAGTGAAAAGTCAGATAGTGTGGGGACGGGATCTGCGAGGGGGGATTGATGTGTGTCCTGATAGCAAGGGCTGGGGTTCACCACCCCGGGGTGGTTCTGCACTTCTTCACACGTCGGGTGGCTCCTGTTTGCTGCTTTGAGCCCGTTCCATAGCAGCGCTGCAGTGAGCAGTGGCTGCCAGTTGCAGATTTTAAATAAGCTTCGAATCATTTAAAAAAAAGGATGGTTTTAGGCTCATAGAATCACGAGTTGTCTCTGTTAAAGCAGTGATTGCGTTGTGTCTGTTTCTTTCACACTCAGTGTGCCTTCAATGCTGATCACCTGGGTGTTGAACTGGAGCCGTTTTGTTCTCTTTCAGCTAGTTGCAGAAGAAGGAGGGTTTGATGTCGTTTGCAAAGAGAGGAAATGGACCAAAATAGCCACAAGGATGGGATTTGCTCCTGGCAAGGCTGTGGGTTCGCACATCCGCGCGCACTACGAGCGAATTCTCTATCCTTACAACTTATTCCAGTCTGGAGCAAGCCTGCTGGTAAGCTGTGCTGTGTCTTAACTCAAATCCTACCCGTGTCAGAGCCAGTCTGGTAATTTTGTGTCAGTGGAATCTTTGCAACACCTGCATCTCGTGCTTTACACCATGAGTTGGTAATGTGCAGTCTGTGATGCAGCAAGCTGTGCAGAGAGCCACAGGAAAGCTTGTAAGCAAGAGCAATGTTTCAGAGCTGCTGCTAGGTGGGATTCTTCAAGGTAACCTCACAGCCACCAACTGCATTGCAGCCTTCATGTATTTCCTCTCTGTCTTCAGCCCCCCAGTAATGACTGTTCATTCCTCCAGTAATGGTTTTAGTGCTGTTTGTCCAATGCAAAGTAGAGTTACATCCACAGACCAGCAGGTGGGTGCAGGTCCTCTCTGGTGGCACAGCAGCACTGTGGGTCGTGTCGCCCATTTGTTTCCCTGTATGTCAGCTCGGTGCTTTGCCAGCAGCTCAGCCTCTGTGCTTTTTGTCTTTGTAGAGGATGCAGCCATTGGATGCTGCAGCTCAGTGTCAGGCGGGAGTTTCCTCCCAGTGCTGCCCAGCACAGCTCTCAGGAGAAACCTGCCCAGCTGCCAGCATCCATCTGCCAGCAGCTCCCTGCTCTTCTGTCCAAGTGCTCAGCTCCTTCTCCCTGTGGAAACAAAGCTGAGGAATGGCGTCCTTTCTTCTGAAGGCTGTGCCATAACCTAAATCTCATCCTGACCTGCTCAGCCTTTCCCAAAGGGTGCCCTTGGGAAAGGGCCTGCAGTTTGTCGTGCCGTTCCAAGTTCTCATTCGTAAGAGCACTCCGTGTTTTCAGTTGGACCTACGAGAAGTGGAAGCTTAAGGAGCTGCCATTTCGTGCTGCTGCTTTGCCTTCTGGTTGCTGAGGCGGTGGGAAATGTTTTTACTTCAGCAGTTGTTGAAAGTGTAGTCTGTAGATGTCTGGGTTTTCCCTTTGCTGAGCAGTGCTCTTTCTCTGCTCAGGCGCTGCACTGAAATGAGGCAAATTTTGCTATTTGTTGCTGTCTTTCTGTGTTTCATCCTTACTTTGTTTAGGAAAAGCTGCTTGCCTTCTAGATACTTGCTTTCAAGGATTGTACGTCCTCAGTTGCAGAAGGAGTAGAAGCTGTAGTGGAGGTTCAGGTTTCACTGGAGGATGTAATTGGAGGACCCAGAACTTAGGAGAGTTGCTAATTCCAGCAGCATTCCGCCTGCCTTGGTGTTGATCTCCTCTTCTGTTCACTCCTTTTCATCTCCTTGTCTCTGAAGCACCACTTTTCCCTCTATTTCCTCCCCTTCTCTGTAATGTTTCTCAAAGTCTGATTTCTTTTGTTGTCTGCAGAGAATCCATCCCTGTGCCACCGCAGCATTTCTCTTGCAGTTCCCATCCTCTTTTCTCTGCTGCTGGCAGAGTTCTGGTTGGAGCAGGCGCCCAGCACTGGGATGTGGCTGCAGGTTGGCAGGGCTATTTGTGACAAAAAAGACTCCTCCTTTCCTTAGTGTTTGTTGTTCTCTCCTCCAGAAGCATCCAGTTCTTTCTCCTGCTACTGAGCATCGAGCGCCTCAGTTTGCGCCTGACTTTCAGGAATCCATCCGGGCACAGAAGCAGCTTTCCTTCCTTCGTGTCGTCCTCTTCTCTTTTGCTCTGGGTTCCCCCTGCTGCGCCCTCCCCTCCAACAACACACAAGAAATGTAACTGCTGCAGTTCCTGCAGGAGAAGCTCTGTCTGTTGAGCAGGATGGAGGGCAGCGTGGCTGCACAGCGCCTTGCTGCTGGTCGTGGGGCGCTGCCAGGGCTCCGTGTGTGCAGCTGGGAGCGTAAAGCAGCGCTGCTGGAGGAGTGTTGGGCTGCAGGGAGAGCTGTGCCAGGGCTGCAGCTCAGGGTCAGGAATGGTTTGGCATTTGGAAGTGCAGTTCCAGTTGCTGGGCAAGAAAAAGGGATTTTGAAACTTGTTCCAAACGGTGCAGTTAGAACTGTCACAAATCTTGTTTCTATTAACGCAGCACAGTAAGTGGGGAGGCCTGTTCTGCATTCTGTCACACGAGCCAGGACGTTGCTCAGCACAAAGCTCCCAATAGGAGCGGGGGCAGAAGTGAAGCAATCCTATTTCCAATTGTGTCTCTGCAGTGTCTGCAGAAGCCGGATCTCACCAGCGACACCAAGGACAAGGAGTACAAACCCCACGACATCCCGCAGAGGCAGTCGGTGCCGCCGTCCGAGAGCTGCCCTCCTGCTCGCCGAGCGAAGCGCCTGCGGGCCGAGGTGAGCGGCCTGAGCTGCTCTGTGTGCTGAGCCGGGGCTTAAGGGCAGCTGTGCTGCAGGGGTGCCTGCGAGTTTGGTGTCTCCCCAGCCATTGAAGCACACAATGGTTCGGGTTGGAAGGGAGCTGGCGGTGCTGCGGCCCCAGCCCTGTGCACAGCAGCTGCTCCCAGCCCGTCCGGTGGTAAATGGTGGTTTATCGTGGTGAAACAGATGCAGATATTTACAGCCGTGTGAATTGTGTGCTACCTGAAAAAGGAAAACAAGACAAACCAAAAGCAGGGCTCAGGCTGGGAGCTGGGAGGTGCTCTGTGGGTGGGCAGCCCTGAGTTGGAGGGGCAGCAAAGGTTTTCCCAAACACAAATGCAAAGCCAGAGTTTTCTGTTTAAGGGCGTTATCGACTCGTTCAGTTTTACTCTCTCCATTCCTTTTTTCGCTTCATCAGGCGACCAACATTAAAACTGAGTCTGATTCTCCAGAGGCAAGAACGCATAATCTGAGACGCAGGATGGGATGTGCGCCTCCAAAGTGTGAGAATGGTGAGCACAGGGAGCAGTGAGCGGGCTCCTCTGCCTCGCACAGACCTGCTTTTCAGGCCAGGCTTTAATTCAGCAGTTGGAATGATCCAATGCTGGCTCACGTGGGCGCTGCTGGTGTTCAGATGTTGCCTCAGCTGTGTGTTGCTGCTTTACTGCCATCCTGATGGGGCGGCAGAGCAGCCGATGGCCGCGGGCACACTGAGCACTGAGCACAGTGCAGCAGGGCTGAAGGAAGCAGAGAGCCCTGTGCAAAATGTAACATCCTGTGGCGATCTTAACAAGTAATAACAAACAAAATAAGGGATAACCAGTGGTGCTGAGTGTTAGATGTTTTATAATGGCTTTTTTTTTCTCACCTGTTGCGCCAGAAAAGGAAACGTACAGCACAGTGAAACTTACTGAGAAGAGAGAGCATGCTGGGGAGCAGGAGAAGGACAAATCCAAAGCCCGATCCAAAAAACCCACCAGTGCTGTGAGTATGCCCTGTGTTCCCTGCTGCCCCACGCAGCTCCAGGTGCTCCTGGGCTTCTCTGGGGGATGCAGTGATGTTTCCTGTCACTCGTGTCACAGTAAAACCTGTTGTGTTTTTTTATCACGTGGCTGAAACAAAACAGTGTTTGTGCCTGACGGAGCAAAGATGCTTGCAAAGCTTTGGGCTGCTGCAAAGCTGAAAATAACAGGGTAGATAAGCTGCACTGCCTACAGGAGATGTAATTTGCTGGTCTGGAATCATCTGATTCCTGCTGAATTGTTTGAGGAAAAAGTCCGTGGAAGAGCCTGCAGCTTCTGTGTGCCTCTGAATGTGGGAGGCAGGCTGTGTAAACTGACAAAGACACGACACTGAGTGCACTTGCTTGAGTTCCATTGCAGAGAGGCAGTAGAAATAAATACGCCTTGCTGAGTGGCACAGATGACGCAGTGACCGAGCTGCTCTTTGGCCATCAGTTCCTTCAGCACTCACCTCCCTGCTCTGGCCGTTTTTTGTTACAGGTGGATTTGTATGTGTGTCTCTTATGTGGCAGTGGTAACGATGAGGACCGCCTCCTGCTGTGCGATGGCTGTGATGACAGTTACCATACCTTCTGCTTAATTCCACCCCTTCACGATGTTCCCAAAGGGGACTGGAGGTGCCCCCAGTGTTTGGCTCAGGTAATTCGACTGATGCTGTAGGAGGCTGAAAATTCCTTCTGTTCTGAATGTGGGCTTAGGGATTGAAAACACTGTTTGTTGTCACACGGCTGTGAAACAAGGTGAGGGAGGGGGAAAGGAAAGGAAGGCCAGGTGTGCTCCACACTGCACAGATGTCATTTGATGCTCTGCACCTCAGGCTGCTGTGCGTTAACACAGCTGAAATTCCAAAGAACGCTTTGGGTTTTATGGTTACCTTCCTTTTGGAGTTCGAATGGGGGTGTCACCATATGCTGCAGTATGGAAGCTTTTGCTTTTTTCTTAGCTGTATTAAAGGAGGAGGAGATTACGGTGCTGACACATGCATTCATCCGTGTTCTCGTACACATTTACCCATCAGTTCTGTGCTTGGTGGATTAGGGGCAGATGGGCAGGGTGCTCCTCAGTGCCCCTTCTGGCTGTTCCTCTGCCGCTGTGATGTGGGGCAGTGGTCCCGTTTGGGTCTGCTTTCCTGCCCCATCACACAGGGCAGTCGCAGCCCCCCCTGTAAAATCACAGTGCGGGTTGTTTTGCAGTAACACCTCGTGGAAATGATGATCTTTGTGATTGCAGGAGTGCAATAAGCCTCAAGAAGCGTTTGGCTTCGAGCAGGCAGCCCGGGACTACACGCTGCGCACGTTTGGGGAGATGGCAGATGCCTTCAAGTCCGACTACTTTAACATGCCAGTCCACGTAAGTTCTGTGCTCATCCTGACGCCGTTACACAGTTTGAATTGTCTGTGCTTCTTTTAAATGTGGAAGTGGGGGGGAAAGGGAGAAAGGAGGGGAATCCTGGTTTTGTATGGGAAGAATTGGCAGATCAGAGGTTCCTCTTCATGCTGGTGATTCCCGTGATTGGTGGCATCGTGGTTTTCTATTCCACTGGCTGCTGATTTTTTCACTTCTGGGAAAGCATCTGTGAGGAGGGGACTTTGTGCAGCTGCAGGCATCGCTGAGACCCCAGGTCCGGCTGCGGCCCGCTGTGAGGCCTGCTGTGCGCTGGGCTTTGCTCTGCGTGCTGCTGGGTGCGCGCCGAGCGCCTGACCTGCTTCTCTCTGTGGTGCCCAGATGGTCCCCACCGAGCTGGTGGAGAAGGAATTCTGGAGACTCGTCAGCACCATTGAGGAGGACGTCACCGTGGAGTATGGGGCTGACATCGCTTCCAAGGAGTTCGGCAGCGGGTTCCCAGTTAGAGATGGGAAATTCAAAGTGAGACCAGAAGAGGAGGTGGGTCCTTAGCAGCTCTCCAGTCGCTCGCTTTGGTTCGAAGCAAAACAATGGAACTGGTTTGCAGAGCGTTTGCTTTGTGTATCTGGTGTAGAGCTTGAAGAGAATTACATCAGTTTTGCAGAAATGAAATGCCTGGTGATCACACAGGAAGAGCCATAGGTTTACCATAGAAGTTAATAAATAACTTTGAGATAAAAAAACACAAAACAATCTCATTTTAACAAAGCAGGTCAGATAAGGTTACTGAAAAGAATCAGGACAATGGAGGTTCTGTTCCGTGACTGATTGACCCATTCCTGGTGTTTTTCAGTTGGGAAAGGTGCTTTTCTTCTTCCTGTTCTTGTTTTTTTTCACTTCATCTTTGTTAAACTCTTGTTCCATTTTCAGGAATACCTTGACAGTGGCTGGAATTTAAACAACATGCCTGTGATGGAGCAGTCTGTTCTTGCCCACATCACCGCAGATATATGTGGGATGAAACTGCCCTGGCTGTATGTGGGAATGTGCTTCTCTTCCTTCTGTTGGCACATTGAGGACCACTGGAGCTACTCCATCAACTACCTGCACTGGTGAGTGAGGGGGATTGACTGGGTGGAGCAGCCCTGTCCCTTTCATTCACCCTTTTCTGACAGCACTTTCTCAGAGCTCAGCTGAGGACGCTGTGCTGCAGCCTTGGATGCAATGCACTGCTTGCTGTGCTTGAACATTGGTTGTGTTTTGGAAGGGGACATCCATCCCCAGCTTTTAAATCAACCACGAGAGGTGCAGTGAATGCCCTCAGGTGTTTTATTATGCTCAGTGTGAAACTGGAAATCATGGAGGTTTTTTAAAACCATTTAGCTTCAGCCGATGCCACAGGGTCCCATGAGCTGCAGTCCCTCAGGCCTTTGTTTCTCCATCACCTCTCCTCTTTGTGTGCACACCCTGCTCTGTGCCCCCCATTGCTTCCACTGTGAGGACTGGGATCCCAGTGGCTCAGTTCTTTTTCTCTCCACGTTTAAAACATGCTCTCTGAAATGCGGGCGGTGCAGAGCGCAGGGCTGGAGGAGGGACCTGCATGGACTGTGAGGGTTGAGGAGAGCGCGTAACCCTTATGTTTCCTCCTGGTGAAATCCCTCCTTTTGACGTGGGGCCCTTAAGCAGGATGTCTTACAGGTTTGTTGATAGTTACCTGTTTAAATAACCTTGCAGGGGAGAACCAAAGACGTGGTATGGAGCCCCGGGGTATGCAGCAGAACAGCTGGAGGACGTGATGAAGAAGCTTGCTCCAGAGCTGTTCGAGTCTCAGCCAGACCTCTTGCACCAACTTGTCACCATAATGAACCCAAATACTTTGATGGCCCACGGAGTGCCTGTATGTTGGACTGTGCTGCTCCCCCTGACTCAGCCCTCTTTCATCTGCACTGAATTCCACTTCATGCTTGATAATTGAAGCAGCCTGTATTGCAGAGATGCTGGGGTTGTTTCCACGCGTGTTGTGGTTCCTTGTGTGGTGCAGTGTGTCCGTGTGAACGGGTGGGCAGCGGGATCGTTGTTTTGGGAACTGCTTGGCAAATCTTCTCTGGAACTCCACCTTAATGTAATTTCTGCATCTTGGATGGAAACGGTGGCCAGAGCTCCTGCTGTGCCTGTTTAATCAGACCCTTGTTTTTGCCATAGAGTTTCTGTCAGGGGGCCAAAACCTGTTAGTTCTGTTCAGCTTTGACCTGATGGTATCTGCGTTTTCTCCTAGGTTTATCGGACCAATCAGTGTGCTGGAGAGTTTGTGATCACCTTTCCAAGAGCTTATCACAGCGGCTTCAATCAGGGTTTTAATTTTGCTGAAGCTGTGAACTTCTGCACTGTGGATTGGGTGCGTTCCAAAACCAACTTCTTTTGAAGTGTGTGGTTCCAGACCTGTCTCTAGCTGCCATACCAGCAGCGTTTTACTGCTGATGTGCAAAGCTGGTCCCCAGCTCTGGAGGAAGTTGTTCCAGCGTTGCTGGAAGCTGAACGCAGAGAGCTGTGGCTGTCTGTGGAGTCCTGGTGCCTCTTGTTCTGTGCTCAGAGTTGGGGGTGCTGTTGGTAGGAGGGTTTGTCTCAGCCTTTCCCCTGCTCGTTTTTGGTTCGTAGCAGAAAGCATCAGGGCTGCAGCGTGCTTTGCACAAAGAGCTCCGCGTTCATGCTGCGATTTCCGTCCCTGCAGTTGCCGCTGGGCCGCCAGTGCATAGAGCATTACCGCCTGCTGAGCCGCTACTGCGTGTTCTCTCACGATGAGATGATTTGTAAGATGGCCTCCAAGGCCGACGTCCTGGATGTGGTGGTGGCATCTACTGTTCAGAAGGACATGGCCATCATGATCGACGACGAGAAGATGCTGCGCGACAAGGTTCAGAAACTGGTGAGCTGTGGGAAGGCTGCGTGAGCTGAGCCGGCGCTGAGGGGCCGGCAGTCCTGCCTCCGCCTGCCCTCTCGACACATTTCTGTCTGCCTGATTTCAATGTCTTGTCTCTGAATGTTGTCCAGCTGATGCGTTCAGCTTCCGAAGGAAGGCACAGCTGTTTGTTAACACTTCTGCAGGGGGTGACGGATTGCGAGAGGGTGGCGTTCGAGCTGTTCCCCGACGACGAGCGGCAGTGCTATAAGTGCAAAACCACTTGTTTCATGTCTGCCGTTTACTGCCCGTGTAAACCAGGGCTGCTGGTGTGCTTGTACCACGTGGAGGATCTTTGTTCCTGCCCTGCCTACCAATACAAACTGGGGTAAGCAGATAAGCTGTGCTCTGGAGATCCGTGCGGGGCTGTGCTGTGTCAGTGATGCTCTCTGTGTTCTGTCTGCGGAGGTCCTTTGCAAACAGTGCTCTCAAAACAAAGTTCCTGTCATGTGCTCGTGCACAAAGATGCTTTCTGTTCAGTGTTCAGCTCTTGTTGTATGATGGCAGGCATTACTGAGCAAATTAATTTGCTTTTTGATTTATGGTAACAAGGTCATCATCGCCCGCACTACTTCCAGTCCTTGTGGAGTAACCTCTGGTGTGCCTTTGTTAGCTCTCCTTCCTGCTGTCTTTTTTTTGTCACATCTCAGCCCTACACAAACGTACCTTTGTGCTTTCTGGAGCTGCTGTGTGACCGATGTGGGTGAGGTGCAGCACGCAGTGGTTGCAGCTCTGAGCTGTGAGATTGCTGCTGTTGTATGGGCTGTGTGCTCTGCTCCCTCAGTCTCTGCTGAAGTTTGACCCCTGTGCTGCTGCAGGTACCGCTACACGCTGGAGGAGCTCTACCCAATGATGAACGCTCTGAAGATGCGTGCAGAGTCATACAATGAATGGGCTTCCAATGTGAACGAAGCCCTGGAAGCAAAGATCAGCAATAAGAGAAGTAAGTGCCTTCCCTGTGACTGTTAAAATACTGATTTGATTTTGGAACCTTGGCAACTTTGTGATACGTGACAGTCGAAAGAGATCGATTGGATTTCATGGTCCAAAGTAAACGTTCCAGATCTTGTTTCTCTGGAAGTTTTGTGGGAAGGTTAGAAATGGCTTTTCTCTTTCATATGAACATAACTGCAGTTGAAATATATTTATTGTGTTACACTGTTCCACCTTAACGTTTGAAGTCCATCCCTAAGGGACGCTTGTGCTGACGTGGTGTCTTCCCCAAAAGGCCTCATCAGTTTTAAGGCTCTGATAGAAGAATCAGAAGTGAAGAAGTTCCCGGACAACGACCTGCTGCGGCACCTCCGCTTGGTCACACAGGATGCAGACAAATGTGCCTCAGTAGCACAGCAGCTCCTTAATGGCAAAAGACAAACCAGGTAAACGCCGTTATGTTTGCAGCAGAACTGAGCCACGTGTCAGTGGTGAGCGATGGGTGGTGGTGAAAGAGTGACACGTGAAAAATCTTCTTATCTTTGTGGGGAGACTCAGCTTTCCTTCATGAGAGCCGTGCAGGGCTCCCAGTCTGCTGCACTCTGCTGTCGTTCCCTGGAGGCAGGAGGTGCTGGTGATGCTTTTAGGGGGAGCAGCTCCCTCTGAGCTGCACGGCACAGGGACTGGGAGCTGCTGGGGCTGCCAGTGCCACTGCATTCATTCCTGCTCGTGGAAAACTGAAGCGTGTTACCCCGGGTTGGTGATGATGCTGTGTGGGAGCTCTGAGCAGGGCTCGCTCTTCCTTTGGCAGCACTTGTGGTGCATCTTCAGGTTATTTGTTGGTGGAATTGGAAGATGGGGCATTGTTTGGGTGTTCCATTCCTGGGCATCTGGCTGCCTGCTCCTGCCAGCACGTTCTGTGCAGAAATTGAGTTAAAGGGAATCAGAGCTGCGTTCCCATTGCAGTTGTGTGTCCTGCAGGGGTGTTGTTTTCCTCATTAATTTAAACAACGCGTTGTAGGGTCAGCTGGAGCCAGCATTGTAAGAGATGTCTTTTCCCTCCTGCTCATACTGGCTTGGCACCAGAGAGCTTTTTTTTAATACCAGCTAATTGGGTGGCACTGAGCAGCCTCTCATTTGATGCAGTGCGTTTAGGTAAAAATGAAAATGATGATTTCAGCACAGAGAGGATTTTTGAGAAGTGCCTGCATGACCTGTGCATACAGAACCCATTCAGAGGTGGGATTTGCTCTCTCTCGACATGGGCACGGGGAGAGCTTCCTACAATGGCTATTGCAACAGAACTGCATGGTTTACCCACAATTGCTTTGTGCTCTGGAAAGAAGCCTGAGTTGGTTCTGTAACAGCTGGTGCTCTGCCCAAGCTGAGGAGCCGTTCCAGAGCATCGCTTCATGTGAAGGAGTGTTTTCAACAATAGTTCATTCTGCTCTCATAACTCGAGTTTCCCCTCATGTGGGCCCTGGGTTGGATGCCTTCGGGTGCTGCACTGCGTGTGAGCGACGAGAAATCAGAAGCAGATTTTGGAGTGGGGCAGATCAGGATTTAGCAGCATCGGAGGAGGTTTAACTGCGTGTGGTTGCAGGTACCGCTCCGGAGGAGGGAAATGCCCCAACCAGCTGACGGTGAATGAGCTGCGGCTGTTTGTCAGGCAGCTCTACGCCCTCCCCTGCCTGCTCAGCCAGACGCCGCTGCTGAAGGTAAGGTGGCTCTGGGGGATGCAGCTCTGTGTCGCTCCGCATCGGCCCTGCCTTCACCCCTGGCGCTGTGTGTGCCGAGGATGAAAGCTGGCAGGGCGATGGCCTTGGAGGCTCTGTCAGGTCTGGAATTTGGGATGCAGATATTGCAGAATTCCGTGTGCTTTCTTGTTGTTGTTGATAGCGTTGTTGCTCTGAAGTTATCTCCTTATTTAAAAAGCAGAAGTCCAGGAATGGCAGACATCCAAACAGTGCTGTGCGTCTGGTGTTCCTGAGCAGGGCGATAGCAGGCGCACACAGCTGCAGCATTCTTCTTGTTCTCTGCAGTCCCAAGGTGGGAAGTCGGAGTTACAGCTGAGCAGTGGAAGCTGCAGCTCCAGCACTGCTCAGTGGGCTCAGTGAAAGGACCTCAGCATAAAAGAGTTCACAGATCCAAACAGGGCAAAAGTGTGATTGCTTTTAGAAGGAGAAAGGAGGAGAATGAAGGCAATTCCAGCTTAGGATTCATACCAGTGCCCGAGTTCCTGACGATTGATTCATGCTTTGAGGTATCTCCAGAAAGGCTTTGTTTCCATCATGGAATTACACGGATGTTCTTCATAAACATCCCAGAACAAAGCCAGGAGATGGCACCAGCAGAGCATTGAATTTCCCTTCGGAGCCTTTTGCTCCTCAGTGTGACACCCATCTGATGGCAGAGGTGTCGCTGTGGGGGAGGTGCTCAATCTGTGCTGTGTGCTGAGGGTCCTCCAAGCACCACAATCATCTGCTGTGCACACTGTGCATGGTGACCTGGTGGCTGCCAGCAGAATTAAACTGAATGTTTAAGGCTGAGCTTCGATGTGTAGGGGATTTGGCAGTCTGGTTTGTTCTGTTTCATGGGTGCATTTGTGCATTACAGGACCTTCTTGATCGCGTGGAAGCTTTTCAACAGCAAAGCCAAAAACTGCTCTCAGAAGAAATGCCGAGTGCTGCGGAGCTGCAGGAGCTCCTGGACGTCAGCTTTGACTTCGATGTGGATTTACCCCAGCTTGCTGAGCTGCGGGTCAGGCTGGAGCAGGCCCGCTGGCTGGAGGACGTGCAGATGGCTTCGTCAGAGCAGAACTCTCTCACTCTGGATGACATGAGGCGCCTCATCGACTCCGGTGTCGGCCTGGCTCCCTACCCAGCAGTTGAGAAGGCCATGGCAAAGCTGCAGGAGCTGCTGACTGTGTCCGAGCACTGGGATGACAAAGCCAGAAACCTGATAAAGGCCAGGTAGAAGCGGGACCTTTATTTGCTGTTTGAGATGAAAATGGTTGGCTTTGTTTTCAGAGGGGCTCCCTGTTGTGTCTGTGCCGTTCTGGAGGGGACGGAGATGGGGCTGAGCGACAGCATTCCCTGCTGTGCTGCCCTTTGTCCATCAGGTGGGAGATGGGTGCCCAGGTGGGGCTGAGGCAGAGGTGTATCACCGACTGACAGATGTTATTCTGTGGACTGGGCTGCATTCCCCTCCCAATGCACGGTGGGGTGCATTACTACTTTCAAAGTAGTGCCATCAGAACTGGGTTAAAGTTTGGTTTCAGCCTCCAAAGTTGAGTTTGTACGTTTTTAAACAATCAGAATCAAACCGTGAAATGCTGAGAAGTCGTAGAACCATTAAGGTTGGAAAAGACCCCTCAGCTCGTGCAGTCCAACCTTCATCCCAGCACTGCTGTACCACTAAACCATGGCCCTAAATCTCCCAGGCTTTCCTGGGAGCAGTGCTCATCTGGAGCCATTATGACAAGAAGGACAAAAGGGAAGTCAGTCAGTCACAGCAAAAGCCTCAGATGAGCTCAAGGTGGGTAACCAGTGGTCCTAGCACAATTTCAAAGCACAGCTTGAGTGTGAATCAGATGTATTAACTTACACAGCTTGCTTTTCTTTGCAACTGCTGATCGTTAACCTGGCCAGAAAGCAGGAGGAAACGACGAGCCATCTGGAGCAGTGGCTGCATTTGACATTATTTGATATCCATGGGAACAATGCATATCCCACCAGTTACATCTAGGATCACAGAACTGTCCTTGTCTGCTTTCTGAAAGCAGGCTTCTCGTGTAGAATCTTGAAGCTGATTCTGTTGTGGGGTTTGGTGCATTGGGGCACCAAAGGTCTGCCCTCAGGAGCTGGCAAATGTTGGATTTCCCTGCAGCCCAAAGGTGTAAACGTTTTTGGAACAGCCAGCAGATCGCTTCCTGTTAGCATTGCCAGCAGGAGTCTTCAGCACACAGACAAACCTTTCTGGGGACTCTCCCTGCATTTTTTGTGCCCCACGTGCTCAGTGCACATCTCTGCTCGGCGCGGCTGCTCTGGGAGCCCCAGGTGCCGTGGCCGTTTCACATTCTGAGCTGTTTCTCCTGGCCAGGCCACGGCAGTCGCTCAGCAGCCTCGCGGTGGCAGTGAAGGAGATAGAGGAGATCCCTGCCTACCTCCCCAGCGGCGCGGCGCTGAAGGACGCGGTTCAGAAGGCGCAGGACTGGCTGCAGGAGGTGGAAGCTTTGCAGGTGTGTCAGCGGAGCTCTGAGCTTCTCCACGGGCAGAGGGAAGTGCTGTCAGGTCGCTGCTGTGTGCGTGGGGCCGTCAGCAGTGCCTGCCTGCAGCACGGCGCGCTGTGCTCCGATGGCACTGCTGTGGGTAAACGAGGGCTGTCCCCCTGCCCTGGGCTGGCCGTGAGCCCTGACTGGGCGTGCTGATGTTTTCAGGTCAATCCAACCTGAATTGGGATTTTAACAGGGACTTATTTTGAAGTTTTATTTAAAAAAACAAACACGAAACAACAAACTCTCATAGGCATTAAGTCCTTTGAAAGGCCAAAGTGCATTCCAGGTTTGCTAACTTTTGTTTGACGGCTGTCATGAGAGGGCTTAACAGAACTGCCTTGGATTGTGGAATTCTGGCTGCTGGGGATGGAAACTCGTCTGTGTGTGCAGGGGATTCTGGCTGCAGTTGCACGCAGGTGTCAGCAGGCGGCTGTGGGGCCGTGCCCAGCGAAGCTGCGGTGCCCGAGCTGTGATTGTGGTGCTGGAGGTTCGGCACAGCAGATCTCAGGCACCCATCAGCGCCTGTTGTGGCAGTGAGCTCTGCCCGCTCTGCTCCTCGTGCGCTGCCTGCAGTGTGGTGCACAGAGCTCCTCAGCCCATGGAGCGTCCCCCAATTTTAATCCTGCAGGTTGGAGGACGTGTGCCCGTCCTGGACACGCTGGTGGAGCTGGTGACGAGGGGCCGCTCGATCCCGGTGCATCTGGACTACCTGCCACGGCTCGAGTCCTTGGTGGCGGAGGTGCAGGCGTGGAAGGAGTGTGCAGCCAACACGTTCCTGTGTGAGAACTCCCCGTATTCCCTTCTGGAGGTAAGAGAGCTGCACAGCACCGCTGCAAAGTGTGTCCGGGTTGGGGATTAACTCATCAAACAGCAGATGTGACCTTTTAGGATTGCATGCTGATCTCAAAGTGATCGCACTGCGCTGTGCTTCTAATTCTAAACTTCAAACACAGGGGGTTGGGCCCTCAGTTTTCCACCTTCCAGCTGCCCTCGATTCCCAGCTGACTTTGCCCTAGAGCCCGGATCTGCGGTGTAAAAACAGCAGGGATTCCTGATCCAAATGGTTGCACGTGGCTGTGTGAGAGCAGCGTGGCTGCAGTCAGGACATCGCAGCCATGCCGCCCCTCTGCCCACCAGGTGCTGTGTCCCCGCTGCGACATTGGGACGCTGAGTCTGAAGAGAAAGCAGAAGAAGCTGAAGGAGCCGATGCCGAGCGCGAAGAAGAAGAGCACCAAGCTGGAGAGCCTGAGTGACTTAGAGAGAGCTCTGTGTGAGAGCAAAGACACCGCGTCGGCGGTAAGCACTGCGGCTTCTCTTGACCTGGAGTTTCTTCCAAGTTCTTGCAATCTGTTTGCATTGGTTGTCGTTAATTTTACAAGGGAGGGGCTTTGTGTCTCTGGTCCTGGCGGAAAACAGAACTGTGAAATCTCATCGCTGCATGCCCCGATTGCTGCCCCTCCAACGCCGACGGCTCTGAGGGGAGGCGGGCAGGGATGGAGCTGAGCAGACAGGAGACGCTTCTGGGCGCGCAGGGCTCCTCGTGGTGCAGCTCTGACATCTCACCCCTTCTTCCCAACCCCGCTTTCAGATGGCGACGCTCGGGGAGGCGCGGCTCAAAGAGATGGAGGCGCTGCGCTCCCTGCGGGCGGCCAACGAGGGGAAGGTGCTGCTGTGCGGCGAGGAGGACGCGGAGCTGAAGGTCTGCGTGTGCCAGAAGGAGCCGGCAGCTCCCATGATCCAGTGTGAGCTCTGCAGGGGGTTCTTCCACACCGGCTGCGTTTCCGCACCCCACGCCTCGCAGGCTCCACGCGTGTGGCTCTGCCCGCTCTGCCGCCGCTCGGAAAAGCCGCCCTTGGAGAAGATCCTTCCTCTGCTGGCCTCCCTGCAGCGCATCCGCGTGCGGCTCCCCGAGGGGGATGCCCTGCGGTACATGATAGAGAGAACTGTGAACTGGCAGCACAGAGCACAACAAATGCTGTATTCAGGGAATCTCAAACTTCTACAGGACAAAGTTGGCTCAGGATTGCTGTACAGCCGGTGGCAGAGCGCGGCGGGGCAGCTGCCGGAGACAAACAAGGTGAGGCTGAGTGCCCAGGCGGGATGTGGTTGAGAGCGGCCTTGAGTGCCTCTCTGCTTTTTGGTGCTCTGTATCTCCTCACAAATGCTGGCGAGACAGACTGCTTATGTTTTCCTTTCCAGATTTAAGGAATTAGGGTTGTTAGCCACAGTGCGTGTCCTCCAGCGACAGCTCCTGTTCTGTCCTGTGGAGTCCTGAGGACAACGGCTCCTGAAGGAGCTTTTCTTCCTTCTGCTTCTCCCTGCTTCTGGGCACTGATGAGATGCCACTAGGGGCAGTTGCTGAGCTATTGTTTCTAAGAGCTCTCAGTATTTGATTGGTCTTTGTGTTCTTATCTTACAAGTATTTGAATCTTGTATAATTACTTGTATATTTTGTGTACTTGTATACTTAGAAATATTGAATCTTACAGTTGGGAATGGAGACACAAACCTTCCTGAGCTCTGAGCTCTGCTCAGATCAGGTGGTTTTCTGCAGGGGGTCTTCATCCCTCCATCCCTCTGTGTCACTTTACACTCAAACTCCCAGGCTGGACCTTGGCTGCAGCTGCCTTGGGTTGAGCTGCAGTGTTTGAAGTGGGATCCTGGGACAGTTTGGGACTTCCTCTGGTGAAGAGGTCTGTCAGCAAAAAGGGGTAGGGGCAGCGCAAAGTGTGTCGCAGACCTGGTGTTCCTGAGATAATAAACGCAGGGGGACAAAGCCTGAACCAAAAGGTCTGTGCAGCAGAAAGGACACAAACCAGTCGAAATGACACGCAGTGTTGCTTTCAGGCTCTGCCTGAGCAGCATGGCTTCTGCTTGTCCCACTGCCTGCCCTGCCCAGGGCTGGGGCTGCTCTGTGCTGCCTGTGTGGCCGTGCTGGGCTGCACTTCTGGAGCAGCAGCAGTGGGGGGGCCTGGGCAGGAGCTCACTGCGACCGTGGGGTTCCGTCCCTCCTTGGGTTGAGCTGTGAGCCAGAACCTCGCTCTGCATGGACTCTGAGTTTTCTTTTTTGGATGATGTTCTTGGCGCTGCCCTCCTGTCCTGTGCCTCCCACCGTACTGCAGCCCCGGGGCGCCGCACAGAGGGGACAACGGGGTGTGAGAAACTAACCTGAAAACCAGCTGTGAGCAGGGAAGGTGAAGGGGGTTTATAAAGGCACCCAGATGCTCAGAGTGAAGGTTGGGTGCCCCTGTGAGAGGTGTCAGGAGAGGCTCAGGAAGGAGCTGAGCCAGTCGGGATGTTGAGCCTCCAAGGGCTGTGGAGGTGTCACCATGGCCGTGCTGAGCAGGGACAGCATGCAGTCACAACCAGAACCAGCAGCTCCAGCCCTAATGCTGCCCGTGTTCCAGGTTCAGGATGAGGGGTTTTAGGGATCCTGTGCAGGAATGCAAGTCCCAAGCAGCTGTGAAAGAAACGAGTTCTGATTTTTCATTTTGCAGCTATTTGACGCTTCAGACCGAAATGCGTAACGAAAATCCTGTGCGCTGTGTTCTGCTTTGTTTTCTAGGTGTCTCAAACAATCGGAGCTATGTCATTCTCCATGCCTCATGACTGGGATAACAGAACCATATATTTACATTCTCCATTTTCTACAGGACAGCAATGCATCCCACTTCATGGTTCGTAATCTTCACTTTGATAGTTTTCTTTCCTTTCCTTTTCTTTTTCTCATGTGTTTGATGGAGGAGAGCTCCACGTCCAGCCTTAGTTTCATGCTTCCAAGTAGGAGCGCTCTGTAATTCAGTGCCAGTGAAACGGGCCGTGGCTGTGAGCTGCCCTCTGTGTGTGCTGTGGGGTGGGGGTGGTGCCCATAGGCAGGTTTCAGGTGCAAGGCTCATCCTCAGCTCTTCCTCCTCTCCTCTCTTGGCTTCACTTCTGAATTCCGCTCTGTTCATCTCATCCACTCGTGCTGCAGTGAGACCACGACACTGATTTGTGTCTTCAGAGGAAGGAGAACGATGGCAGTGCTTTGCCATAGGGCTGGCACAAACCGCAGGCAGGGGAGGATGAAGTCACAGCGCTGCTCAGTAACTGCTGTGGAAACTTGTAACTCTCATTTTAACTCTGCTGTTAAAAACGAGCGGCGAAGAGGGAACAGATGAGAGTAAAATTGTCCAGTTGCAGATTTAAAGTCTTGCACGGGTTGTGTTCTCATCGGTGCTGACACGGAGGGATTCCTTTTCTTCTCTCCTTGCTGGCAGTCGTTAGCACCGAGCTGGACGAGCTGATGATGGAAGCGCAGCTGCTGCAGGTTTCTCTGCCTGAAATACAGGAGCTGTACCAGATCCTATTCACAAAGCAAAGCCCCGCTCTGCAGGCTGAGCAGAAAGCATCGGGAGGGCCGAGCAATGAAAAGGTGAATGTCTGAGCGCGGGGTCAGCAGGGGGCAGTGTGGGTGTCATGCTGGGTGTGTGAGCACGGAAGGTGCTTCCCGTGCCCAAAAGCAGTGGAGAATTGGTAAGGTGTCCAATCCATCGGATGTCATTTGGGGTCTGATGCATTTCTGCAGTTTGAATCTGGATTTTGTGATCCCCCCTCTTCATGATAAATGCATCTGTCCCTGTGCTGAGGGCCCTGCTGGCTGCCCCTGGGGCACTGTGTGGACAGGAGATGAGAATCTTCTTTCTATAAACTCTCACTGAAGTGTGACCCCATCCTTCGCTCCCCTGCGCAGCACTGACAAACGCTGCTTGTACTGGAGACTCCTCCTAAGCACGGGGTGTAGTGAATGGAGCTGTGTCCATCAGCTGTATCCTCACCGTTTGTCAAATACCTTTCCGACAGAACGAGTGCTGCCGGGGCAAAAAGGATGGAATGAGTTACATGGAGAGAAAAATGAAGCGCCGTTTCGAGAGAGAGAGCTTCTGCGAGGAGAAGAGAGCAAGGGTAAGAAAAATGAGAACGCCCAAAAAGAAGAAACTGAAACTGAGTCACACAAAGGATCTGAGCAGCAGCAGCAGCAGGATGGAGAGGGAGAGGGAGCGGCTCCTGGAGGTGCAGCGCAGCAGCGAAAGCCATTTGGTTCCCTCCGACACGTCGTTCTCTGAGCAGGAGGACTCTGAGGATGAAGATGCCATCTGCCCTGCAGAGACGTGTCTGCAGCCCGAGGGAGAGGAGGTGAGTGGAGCTGATGCCACTGAGCGCCGGGAGCTGCTGGTCTGCAGAAATGCTGTTTGCAAAGAGCGGGAGGCAGCGTGAGGGGTGCGAAGGTGTCACAAATCACACCTCTGAATTCCCCAGGAGCAGCGGGGAAGGGGAGCGGGGCTGAGCATCGCAGCAGTGCTGTGGGGCTGGGAAGGGGCGGGAGGCTGAGTGGGATGTGTTCACTTCCACTCCTGAAATATGGGCACAGAGCCCTGGAGCTCCGCTGCGCCCATGTGTGCTGAAAGATGGGGAAGGATGGCATTGCCCCCAGTGTGAGAGGCTGCATTCCCATCCATATCGCTGCCCTGCGTGGCAGAGCTGCGATGGGAGGGGAGGGCGGCTCTCCTTCGCAGGAGCCGGGCTGCAGTGGTTTGGCTCCTGGCATGCAGCAGTGCTGTGCCCTCGTGGGGATAAATGGGGTTGAAAAGTAACTCCTGAGTGCCGTGCCTTTGTCCGCTGCCTCTGACCCGCAGCATCCCTTCCTCCCCAGGTGGACTGGGTCCAGTGCGATGGCAGCTGCAACCAGTGGTTCCACCAGGTGTGCGTGGGCATCTCCCCCGAAATGGCCGAGAAGGAGGATTACATCTGTGCCAGCTGCGCCGGGAGGGGCTCCCCGTACCGCAAGTGAAAGTGCCCACAGAGCCTTCGGGACTCGAGCAGGGAGAGCTGCGGAGTTTTCCATTGGGGCTGCAGGGGCTGTTTGGAGAACCAGGCTGCAATTGGTGCTACTTCTATCCTCACGGGATCATTTTCCAGAACTCGAAACAATTTTTGACACTTTTTGTATTCTCCCTTTGATCTTTGTGGTTGTGGAGGTTTGCGAAGCTGGCTGTCGGAGCGGGGGGGTCTCGGCCGACTCGAAGGCATTGCTGGGGCCGTGGGGCCGTGCTCCTATGCTCCTGTCCCTGCACAGCATCACCGTACCTCTGGGATTTGCAGCGCTTTGAATCCTGCGTGGAGCACGGAGCCCCACAGCGCGGGCTGTTCCAGGCAGTCCTCGTTGGAGATCCCTGTTTACTCTGTTATCAACTCTTTGGAGACTTTTAGGTTTGGGGTTTTTTTTTGTTTTGTTTTGTTTTTGTTTTGTTTTTTTTTCTGTTTTTTCCCACTTTGTTTTTGGTAGATTTAGGTTTATTTATCTGAGCAATAACTTCTATGTCTGGTTTCAGCGACTGGAATGGCAGCTGGGGACGGCGTGTTGCTTTTAGCATTGGTTGATGTACAGAAAGCAGGTGGTAGATCCTAGTGTGACTGAGGGGCCGTGATGTAGAAGACAAAAAAAAAAAAAGAAAAAACAAACAAAAAAAGCTCTGTAAAGTAATTGCCACAGCTGTATTTTGGCTTTCTCCTTTTTTGGGTAGCTTGTATCAAACGTTGCAGTTTATATTGTGGAATAAACCCCTGGTTATGTTATAAAATTAAATGTTGGTGTTTTTAGAGAACTTCCCACGCAGTTCGTTTCCCTCCGGCCGCTGCCGAGGCTTCGTGGTGCCCAAAACAAAGGAAAAAAATCCGTTCATCCGCAAAGCGCCCCCAAAATCGGAGCGACGCGGTTGGGGGGGGGGGGCGGTGCCACAAAGCAAACACGGCCCTGCGGGAGCTGCTGGGTTAGGCTGCACTCCTGTGCAGACCCACTCCTGTGGCACAGGAAACGCCGCCGTACCGCGATACGAGGAGCGGCGCACGGACAACACGCGCGTTTCCTCCACGGAAGCGGATGCAGCAGCAGCGGCCTCTCCGCGCCGGAAGCGCCGTCGCGCGGTCCGATGGCGGCAGGGGGCGGAGCGGCG